GATTAAATGTTCAAAAGTGTACACTACTAATTTAGAAGTTAAGTGTGAGGCCTGATATTTATAAGTACCAGCTAGTACAGTAACTTAGATCTACTGGGTAGTCTATAAGTATGAGGCAAGCTTGAACTGTTCAAGTTTGGATGAAACTTCAAAATAGTGCTTGTACTTACCCGTAAAAATGCAAAATTTTAAAATGCTAATGGTATCTCCATGAGGTAGATGTTCTATAAATGAGGGGCAAATACAGCGAGGAACTGCATTCCTTGCTTCACTAACTTTCGGAATTGCTCTCTTCATGTGAGCCCAAAATGGTTTTTTCTCCAAGCGTACTATTTCTTCTTTCTTAGATATCTTTTTTCTTAAATGAAAATTGCCTGAAAACCAAAGTGGACATATTTTATATATAATCATAGACACGTATATCTATTTAGCAAAAATGAAGTTTAATTATCATGCATTTTAGCTGTTTTTAATTGGTAATGGTTTGGGTTTATGATACACCGGCGTCAGGTCAAGGTCATTGCATTTCCGCATTGGCTCAGATTACAATCGATGATCAGAATATGGTTCAACTCGTTTTTCAGAAAAGTTGAATCAAAAACTAAGTGGAGAAGTCTTATTATCGAAAAAATGGATCTGAAAGGGCGTATAGTCATTTATACCATAACAGGTTGCCCTCACTGTTTACGCGCCAAGTCCAAATTACGAGAACTAGAACTGCCGTACACGGATGTCAATTTGGACAATTTTCCACAATGTAGAGAGCCACTCGCGGAGAGGACTGGCAAGAACACAGTTCCGCAGATCTTTTTTAACGCAACACATATTGGCGGCAATGATGATTTTCAAAAGCTTGTAAGTAATGATGCAAGGCCCGTTATTAAACTACCTGTATGTGCTCGATTTAATGGCGTTGTGTGTGGTTCGTAGAGTGGAGAGGGAGGGGAGCAGACGATAGTCTTACTGCGGAACAGTAAGTAAGTCAGTATAGATGTAATTTGTGGTCTTCTTGACCAAACAGCCAGGCAGGTAAGATATGTGTCTAAATTTAGTGAATTTTATGCAGAATCTTGACAGCCGTGACGGAAAAATGATGAAAGTTATAATTATAAAAATAGACTATAAATTATTAGTTTTTTTAAAAAAAACTGAGTATCATTTTATTTACAGGTACGTGAAGATTAGGGGTGTACCTAATTACCGTCGACAACCGAGAACAATCGAACACTACCGAACACAAGCACTAATTACCGTCCACACAACAGTCTACAAGCAATAAATACCGCCCACAAGTGTCCTCCCATATGAAATAGTTGTAAAATCAACTAATAGTTAGAAATTTAACACAAGATGGTGCTTTATTGAAAAAAAAAAAAAAAAACGTCATGGACGCGGTCATGGACGCGGGTCTGCAGACGTTTTCAAACGGAGAACCACACTCAATTGTCACATTTGTCGCATTGAAAACTACGTTAAATGATGTTAACTGTTGTATTCTAGGCTTCCAAAATGCAAAAAGGGGAAAAAACGTTCATAAGTAGGCCCTATACAGTTATACATATGGCTAGGTTGCCTTTAGATTCAACAAGTGTTCAAGGTGACAGCCGAGCGTGCAGTGAACGGGCTCTGTACGTGTAAAAGCTACATTAGTGCACTGAATGCGGTTATTTCAAGCAATATCAGATGAGAAATAAAACAAATGTTTATTGACAATTCAGGTCTGACATATGTGCATAGCAATAGCATTAGTCGGTGTTACTTTTCTGTCAAAACCTCGATCATTTTCTAACATGTGAAAACTTAACAGTGCACTAATGTAGCTTATACACGTACAGAGACTGTTTTCGGCACGCTTGGCTGTCACGTTTAACGTTTATTTAATCTAAAGGCAACCTAGTTATAACAATTATTATTACAAAAGTGAAAATCGTTTTACGTCGTTTTCAAAACGTCCACAGCCCCGCACCTGTGACCTCTTTCAGGGCCGTATACGTTTAAGCACCATCTTATGTTAAATTTCTAACTATTAGTTGATTTTACAACTATTTCATATGGGAGGACACTTGTGGGCGGTATTTATTGCTTGTGGACTGTTGTGTGGACGGTAATTAGTGCTTGTGTTCGGTTGTTCTCGGTTGTCCTCGGTTGTCGAGGGTAATTAGGTACACCGGAAGATTAGACTGTATTGATAATGAAGGTCCACTAACTGTCCATAAGATATTTGAGTAGCTCAGCAGCTGTGCCACATTTTGTGGACATATAGTCATTTGGAACAAAGAAAGCCATAATATGGTATAATATATGTACAATGTAGTTGCTCTGTGTACATACTGGGGAACTTTTTTTAGACTGTATTATTTGGAGTGTACTTCTTGTGAAGAAAGAAAAAATGTACATATTCATCTACATTGTACCACACAGGGTACATCTGTGTAACCCCCTTGATGAATACTTCCATAAATCTAGTTTTGTTTTCTGAGGCCAGCACACTTGTATAATATTTTTATATAATATATTCATAACATGACTGTGATTAAGATAATAAGTCAAAGCAAACAAGGTGCATATGTTGCTACTCCTCCTCCCCCCCCCTCCCCTTTTTTCTGTCAGAAGATGCTAAAAAATGGAGGATGGATCAACAAAGATAATTAGGAAGACTGTCAGAAAATATCTCCATGTCCGCCCCTGTATAAAGTAAATGAGACTTTTAATTTCCATGCCCCTCTTTCTCCCCCTTCTCACCCCCCCCCCCAAAAAAAAAAAAAAAAAAAAGTCACATAAAAGGAAACTTGATTTTTCTTCAGGTAGAGGAAAGAGAAAATTTTGAAAAGCTTGTAGAAGATGTGAAGAACACCACCCCTCCCCCAGAGGCTCCAGTTCCACCAGACCCCAGCACTGCTGTGGAGCAAGATCAAGATAAAAGTAAAAAAGGTAACAAAACCCCAGGTTTGTGTGTCAAGGGAAGCTTTGTTTTCACAAAATGGAAAAAATTGCTTTGTTTGGATTATTTGGAAAATGTAATAGAGAAATAAATGTCATAGGAATTTATCTGAGGTTTGGTGTTAAAATATTCATCTTGTCTAATGCAGCAATGAAAAATATGACAGAACTTCACTATGACGAAAAAAGGTGGAGGACAGGAGAAAGAGAATGTTAGGTTTGTGAGATTGTGGGAAGGATTAGGACTAATTTGCTTTACATTTACATTTAATATGTTGCAATGGGGGACTGGCTTGTTTTTAATTTCAGAGAATTTTGATATGAGTAATATCTTTTATTTTCTTATTTAGATGAAAGCAGTGGTTTTTCATGTGAGCCTGATGAATATGCAAAACTTGTTAAAGAAATTAAGTCCAGTGATATTATACAGAACCACCGTGCTGGCTTGTTTACAGTCCACAAGAATTCTTTCAGTGGAAATGACTTGGTAGATTGGATTGTAAAGGCAAAGGCTATTGGTGGGTAATGGTCTCCAGCAGTTTTTATTGTTTTGCATTAACATCTAACTTCAATAATAGAAGGATAATCATTGCTCTCTGGGCATACAGTTACCATGAGGTAATAGTTAGTGCTGATTAAAGATGGACTTGGTGGGGATGGCAAGAAAGGGGCCATATATATTCTGCCTCACACCCCTGCCTTCCTTACTGGTCTACTTCACTAAAAAAGAAGGAAAAAACTAGCTTTGTTAACAGCTGCAAGAAAAATGTTTACAAATCACTTTGTCATTACAGTAATTTTACTTTTCATGGTTCTTTTATTCCCTGAAATTCTCAGTATTTTGTACATGTCATTCCTCCTCCTGATGTAGCTCAGATTCTCTATTTGTTTGGTCTAATTTGTGTCAACAGGGGCGTCTCGATAGTCCGAAGGTTCATTGGTCCGAAGGTTCATTGGTCCGAAAAGTGGTAACATTTTCATCGATTTTTTAATCAAGGGTTCATTGGTCCGAAGGTTCTATAGTGAACATTCGGACCAATGAACCTTCGGACTAT